GGCGCCCGGGTCACGGCGGGAGGAAGCTGCTGACTTTTGCCAGAGGCGGCACCGACGGTCGGCCATGGTCGCGGCTGCCAGGCCAGTGTAAAGCTGGAGACAAGACCATAAACCGTGATGAAGCCGGAGAACAACGGGATGCAGAGGTGCGGACTGCAGCCTGGCGTGTCACGGGGTCAGGACACCGCACGCCTAGCACCGATGGGAAACCCAGGCTTCGCCGGGGAAGACCTGGGGCCAAGGCTTTGAGGAGCACCAAGGGAGCTGGGCCAGGGGTTCCCTAGGAGCTGCTCCTGGGCCGGGGACCAAGGCTGTGATGCCCCAATGACTGCAGGTTCCCCAGCACAGAACTGCAGGTGGCCGGACCCCACAGCCCACTGGCCTAACGCCTGCGGCTCTCATTAGCCGGCTTTGAAGATGAAACAGACCTGAGCCCCGTAACAGCAGCTGCTAACTAGTTTCTCTCCTTCCTCCAGGCTTCACAGGTCCCTCCCTCCCTACCCAACCTGCTGCCCTCCAGATGGAAGTGATGGAGTAGCTGGAAAAGAGGCTATTGGGGTGCCAGGGGGATGGAGACCAGCATCCACCCCCAGGGACAGGTCCGACTGGAAAGCCTGTCCCAACTCCTCTGCCCCTGGCTCCACAGTTGACTCACAGGCGGCAGCCCCAAACCACTTCCTTCTAGGTGCCTCCGTTTCTCCATCTATAAAATGGGAGTGAGGACACCCCCCGCCAAGAGGCTGTGGGGTGGGGCGGCCTGGCTAATTAAGCCTAAGATGAAAGAGGCCAGGATGAGAGCGGCCCTGGGAGGGAGCCTGTCTGGTTTCCCTGTCTGAGGCCCAGAGGCTGCTGATAACTGCACATCCCCAGCCCTCGCCGCTCACAGGGAGGGAGGACTGATTATTAAACCCCTTTTACAGTTGAGGAGACAGGCTTCAAAGGGTCAGGAAATCTGACGCTGCTCTGGTCCCTACTCAGCCTCCGAGAGCCACCAGCCTTTCTGAGCCTGGGCTCCACTGGGCCCAGGGTCTGAAGGGAGGGCACCCCACGTGCGGCCCGATGCTGTGGTGGGCTCGTCCACATGGACTCACAGGCTCACAACAACCCTGAGGGACCCAGGGATGGGTGCCATTCCGATGGGAAAGGAAGGCCCAGGGAGGTGCAGTCACTTGCCCCAAGTCCCAGAGCTCCTAAGAAGGGGAGCCTGGACTTAAACACACTGCCCCGCGCGGCCCCTGACTTGGCCCTCCCCCCATACCAGCTGCCCTCAACCCTCCCGGGATGGGCCCTGCCCTCAGCTGCTTGCCCTGCTCCCCGGTGGGAGGGTGGTGCTGGTCTCTCCCTGGCACAGGACAGGCATAGAGTTGAACTCAGCCCACCAGCAGTGAGGGCATGAATGTCCCCTCAACCTGCAGTCGCTGACCTGCCTCTGAAGGAGACCTCCCAGAGATGCCCAGGGGTGGGCCTCAGCCAGGTAGCCAAGAAGGGAACTCCCCACTCGATGCCCACACCTCACTGCTTCCCTTCCTGCTGAGTTTCCATCCTCCCCAGTGCAGCCTCGTTCCGGGGAGATAATAAACACAGGCGTGGAACAGGGAAGATCTGTTTTCTGAGGGGTCCTGAGCCTGTTTTCTCACCTATAAAGTGGGGGATGTGACGAACCCGTCCTCACAGCACTGGGCACTGGGGGTACAGGGATGTTTTGTTTTATTATTATTTCAATATGTTTTTATTGATTTCAGAGAGATGGAGAGAGATGTAGAAACATCAATGAGAAACAACAAAAACAAAAGAAACATCGACATGAGAGAAACATCACTTTGGCTGCCTCCCACATGCCCACTCCTCCCCCCGACTGGGGATTGAGCCCCAAATCCAGGCATGTGCCCTGACTGAGAATTGAACTGGTGACCTCCTGTTGCATGGGATGACACTCAACCAACTGAGCCACACCGGCTTAATTATATGTATTGGGGTGACAGGAGATGTTTTAAAAAGAACATGCCTGAGAGAAAGCAGAGAAATGGGTGCCAGAGGTTGAGAGGAATGGGGGTGACTACTAATGGGTACTGGGTTTCATTTGGGGTGATGGTTACACATGGGTGAAGATACTAAAAACCACTGAATTGTATACTTTAAAAGGATAGATTTTCTGCTATACGAATTATCCTATATAATAAAAGGCTAATATGCAAATTGTCCCCTCGGGAGTTCGATCGCTCGCTATGACATGCACTGACCACCAGGGGGTGGCGTGGAACATGGCAGGCAACCAGCGGCTGCAGTGAGGTAAGGAGGAGGCAGGGAGGCAGGGTACCTGATGGGCCCTGATCACTGGCCAGGCCTAGGGACCCTACCCGTGCATGAATTTCACACACCGGGCCTCTAGTATCTAAATAAAGCTACTAACATGGTGTTAAAAGAGGTCCCTCTTGTACAGAACTTTCATGGGGGGCAGGGGAACAGACAACAAAGATGCTGCAAAGAGAACAGAATAGGGTAATGGGACAGAGGTGACCAGGGGACAAGGATCTAGCTGGGGAGGTCAGTGAGGCCTCTCAGAAAAGGGGACATTTGGCTGAAACCTGAGTGATGAGAGGCAGTCAGCCATCAAGTAGCGAAAGGCGTTCAGGCACAAGGCAGAGCAGAGGATAGGCCTGAGCTGGGAACAGCTTTGGCCTGATCAGTGGACAGAGGGCAGTGATGTGGCTGGAACTCACAGAACCAGCGGAAGGGAGAGGCCCTGAGACTCCAAGACGGTTCCTGTATCAGAGATGGAGAGGCTGTGACAACTGTGAGGATGAAATGAAGTCTGGCAGGTCAGACACGTGGCCACAGTGTGAGCCTCACCAGGCTTGTGGCCTCTTCCAACGGGAACCCATGGCTTCCCTCGGCGTTCCCGGGGCTCCAGCTGGCCCAGGGGCCTGCTCCTCTGCCCATGGTCCCCAGTTCCACCTCAGGAGCTTTCTACCCACATGCAGCCCCCCACTCCCTGCTAGCCCTATGTGGCCCTGGCCCCCCTGGCAGTGGGCTGAGAGGCCCATGGGCAGGAACTCAGCAAGAGATGAAGGAATCAACCCCCACAGCACTTCACACTCTGTTAGGGGCTGTGCAGCCTCCACAGCTGCTGTCAGGCTGGAAAGGCCATTGTTTGAGCCGAGCAGAGGCCTGGGAGCAAGGGACACCACTCGCCTGCTTTAAGGCTGAGTTCATTTTCTAGGGCTGCTAGCCTTCTGGCAAAAGCAAATTGGTAGCATCATTAGACAGCTCTGAGGAGCAGAGCAGGAACTAGGAGCCCCACTTCACAGATGTGTAAACTGAGGCCCAGGTCCTCAAGATGAAGAGTTTGGGGCACCCGACTGGCCAAGTGCTCTTTCCTGCTTGTCCTCTCGGCACATCTCAGCTTCTGGAAGCCCTCTTGGCCTGGGAGGGCTTCAGCCCCCACACCATCCGGCTCCTCCCGGGAGCCTCTGAGAACAGGAAGGCTGGTTGCAAACCTTCTCCCTCCACCCAACCTCTGCCCTCGCTTTTCCTGGGCTGCTCTGGATGGCAGCCGAGCACTCCGGGGTGCATGGTCCTCACTAGCCTGCTGGGGTTCCGCCTTCCTTCACACTATGCCTATGAGAGGTGTCCACCCAGAGTCAATGCTCAAGGCTCTGCTGGCACTGACCCAGGCCACTGTCACCTCCTGCTCCAACTATAACAGCAGCCTCCCTTACTGGTCTCCCTACTGCCATCCTCACACACACCCCTCCTCCGAACACACTCCATTCCCCCATTACCAGACCCTGAGCCCCCACCAACTGGACTCACAGGACGTGGCCCACCTGCCTCTGCAACCTCAGTTCCCACACCCTCCCGTCCCCTCCCCTCCCAATCTGGCCGCCTTTCCCTTCGGTTCATCGCACACACTAGGCTTACTCCCACTCTGGAGTCTTCGCACCAGCTGTTCCTTCTGCAGGTCAGGCTCTTCCCAGCTCTACACAGCTGGCTCCTACCTCTCTTTCAGATCTCAGCACCCCCGTCTGTCGCTATCCCATCACTAAAGTCCTGTGTCACAGTAATAGTTTCCTTAGCTTTTTGTTTACCTTTAC